CACAGGACAGAGCAGAGTTTAGGGCTGTTGTACATAGGGTGGCTATGAGTCGCAAGTGACTCAACGGCACATAACAACAACAACAATTAGTTGAGCCATTATGATCACGGCCTTTAGACTACATTAGACTACATTCTTTTCTTATTTGGAATTTTCTCTTCTGTGTGAACTCTTACTTTCTTGGTTTCTGTATCTTCTTTGTTTCTGCTTTGACTTTCTTCTTTCTCTGAGCTTGGAGAATCCCTCCTCTGTCTCCTTCTATCTTTACTTCTTGATCTTCCTGATGTTGACCCTCCTCTTCATCTGTACTCCGGTTCTCTGTATCCATGGTACTCCTTGCTTCGGCCGCCATCTCTGTCGTGGCTTCTAGATTGTACTCTAAAGCTCCCAATGGAATTCTAACAGGCAGGCAACATAGTTTCCTGTCATCAAAGACTCGGAGAACCTTGGACAAGGAAACTTTGTCCAAGCTATAGATACATCATAAGTTCACAGTAAAGACTTTTCGATTTTTTTATCCCATCACTCTTTTTTCCTTGAAGGAGAATAAAATGAACACACAGAACCTAACTTGTACTTAGCCAAGTGGACCAAGTACAGAGGGCCAACAAGTTGTTCTGAGGAAAATGGTCTTATAGAATGCTAGCTTTCAACCTAGACTTTTGAGATCTGAAGGAGTATAGGTATGTTTTAAAAAGGCTCCTTTCTGGGCAACCTATGCTGATTCTTTCCTTCTAGTTCATTTTCAGCAAAAGATCAGTCAGAAAAAAGTTTTTAAAAAAATTTCTTTTATTTGAGTGGAAGTTTGCAAATCATATTAGATTTTCATTCATATATATTCCTTCCATAATATCAATGACTCTGAATGTAATTCATGACAATGTACAATCCCTATCCTGTACTGCCTTTCCTTTAATTCATATTATACCTTTTAATGAATTTTTACTTTCCTCTTCCTAGTCCTCCAAGATTATACTATGTGTAAATAACTCTTTAGCTAGTAGAAAGCTTTTGAAGGCATTTATCAGATTTTTGGGCTTTGAACACGAGTTTCCCTCTCTTCCTTTTTCTCCCTCTCTCTTTTTTGAGGGCTCAATTGGCCATACCAATCAGATAGGAACTTTAAAAAAGGCAAACACATAAGTTAAATGTCACTGCAATTATGCTAGACTGGTTACCTGGAGCTTTCACATGATTTCCTATTTTCAGATTCTGAGGATGCTTTTTACGAACTTTTTGGGGTGGAGGGAGTGAGCACGAGAACTTTTTCAAACTCACTTCAGAATTCTTCTGAATTTAATTTTTCATCTTTTAAAAATAAATTTATTTTTCCAATGTTAAGAATGTACAGGAAAAGATGTACACCCATGTTCATCACAGCTTTGTTCACAATAGCAACCTAAGTGCCCATCAACAAACGAATGGATAGAGAAGCTGTGGTATATTCACAGAATGGAATATTACGCTGCATTGAAAAACAAGGAACTCATGAATTATTATACAAAATGGGTGACCCTGGAGGACATTATGTTGAATGAAATATCTCAGTCACAAAAAGACAAATACGGCATAGTGCCACTGTTATAAAACAGGGCTCACATGGGAGGTGGGGGGAAACTAAGAAAAGAGGGGATAATCTACATGGCATTGAAACAGATAAGGGAGAGAACTGCATAAAAGGAATATATGATTAGGTATTATTGGCATGACAAGAGTCCAGAATAAGAGCTGCATAGTAAAGTGTTCTGGGGGGAGAGGACTGTTTAACAATGAAAGAAATGTTTTTCCCAAAGGAAAAAGCGATCTGCAGAGGGGAAGAGAGGCAGGGTGGAAAATATGCAAGAATGAACAATTGGAAACCCAAGTTCTTTATAAACTTTCATTAAAATCTAAATTAAAAAAAATTACAGCAGGGGAGCTCTGGTGGCCTAGTGGCAAGAAGCTGCAACTACAATCCCAGAGGTGCACGGTTCGAATCCACCAGATGCTTTGCCGGGGAAGGAGGGACAATCTCCTCCTGTACCAGTCAGATCTGATTAGACGGTACACGCACACAAAAATAATAAAATAAAATAAATATTTAAAAAATTACAGCAAAAGATATGTCAACTCAACTGTTTCTACTTGTACAGTTCAGTGACATCGATTATAGTGAGCTTCACAACCATCTGTAACCTCCTTTTCTGAGCTGTGCGTCTCCTATTAATAAACTCACTGCCGCCTACACTTTCTATCCTTTTTCGTAGTTTTTAATCCTCTTAATTACAGCAAACTAAATCAGGCTAAAGCCTTCAACTTTATGTACAGGATTCTATCTTTTTTCCAGGAATAACGGCATTTTCCAATCTCTCCACTAGCCCAGTAGAAAGAAGCAGACGCAGGACTAAGGCCTCCTGCAACGCTCAGGGATTTGCAAGGCGGAAGGTGGCTGAAGCCAAGAGCTTGTTCCCAGGACCAGTTTCTGGTCCCAGTGGGCCTCTGTTGTCCCGGAAACCAGCTCTTGAAAGGGGAGTTCTGGAAGCCTGCAGTATGGCGGTATTCTAAGGGCTGCAACGAGGAAGTCAAGAATAATGTTGAGATGATTGCCAGACTCTGCTTTGCCCCCCGTGCATGCACACTTTGCCACAATCTAAGCAAAGGGGCTCTGGGAATAAGTCCAGTGGTCTCTGCCCAGCTACTGAAATGAGTACAATGCCCTATGTCAGCAAGGAGGGACTGGTCCTCGGAGAGGGACATGATGTTTGGGAGATTGGAGGGACGGTGCAGGAGAGGAAGGCCTTCGATGAGATGGATCGATTCTGTGAGTGGAGTGGTGGGAATGAGTATGTTTGAGACGGCGAGGTTGGCACAGGATAGAATGGCGTTTAGGGCTCTTGTACATAGGGTTGCTATAAGTCGCACGCGACTCAATGACACATAACAACAACAACTAAGTCAGCCACCCTGAAACCTTGGAGAAGACATCAAGCAACTGCAGATATAAAAAGATCCACTAGCCACCTTTTCAGCAACCTGGTGGGTGAGGGCTGGCAGTTACCTGTTTGGCCTCCTCGGTGGGTAGCACACTTCTAGCTTCTCCCTTCATCTGAAATGAGAAAACACAGAAGAGCCTGAGTGTGGTATGCACACACAACCAGGAAAATTGATAGGTAGGCTCACAGCGATCCTCAGTGCTGGCAACTCATTAAAATCGCCTGCAGAGTGATCAGTCCCTACTGGGGCGCCACTTCAGGATGGTTTGGGCATCAGCACCATGAATCAAGGAGTCTGGGAATGGGACTTTTGTCTGCCTAGAATTAGCTTTCTCATAGATGGATCGTTCCAGATTCTGCCTTTGAATGGTTTAATGTTTCACCTCTGTACTCCCTTTTGTCAGAAGAAATCTGTCCTCTGAATCCCCGCTGTACCCAACTGTTCCTCACCAATAGCCTCAAGGAATTGAGCCAAGCTCTGCGCATGACTTGCTTGGCCAGCTTTTTAAAACTCTGTGAAGTCCAGTTACCACATACACGGGCTGGATTTGTAACCCTGAATTAAAGGAAAGCTTCTGAAAGACTTGCCCTGACTGTTTAAGACACAAACACTTACAGTGTCAGTACCAGTTGCTGTTGATTCCAACTCATGGGGACCCCTTGATATATTTCTATGCAGAAGTCAGTAAGGCAGTGAACCGTGGGCTGACACCTTTCTCAAGGTCAATTATCAAAAATCTATCACTAGTCATATAATCCTGGTCAAATTATCCTCTCTGAGCTCATCTGTTTGCTTAGCTGCAAAAAAACCAGGAATAAAAATAGTACCTATCATTAAGGATTGTTCCCCAAAGAAAATATGGGAGTGTTCTCTGCACCAGCGTGGGAGTAGGGCCTATCTTTTCTGTGCATACTCCGCTTGACCCTTCGGTGACTGGCTGTTAACTGAAAGACTGGAGGTTTGAGCCCGCGTAGAAAATCTTGGCAATATATTTACGAAAAGTAAGTCATTGAAAACTATGGAACACAGCATAACTCTGAGAAACATGGGCCTGGAATTGGTCAGTGGTTACTGAAAGTAAGATACAAAATTGTAGTTCATTTACATACACAATGTAACTTATAGTTGAACTTCCAGTAAATTTTCAGAGGCTGTAAACTGTATGGGAAAAGGCCGCCCATCTGCCTCTCACAGAGCAGCTAGAGGATTCTAACTGCATGCCTATGGGTTGGCTGCCCAACTCCTTACCACTAGGCCATCAGAGCTCCCTATACATCTACTAGTTAGAAGAAATAATAAATAATTAGGAAAAGAAAGCTAAACTACTAATCATGTATTAAAATGTGTCTCCCAATAGCATGTATCCACCACTCATCTGCCAGTTTGCCATACTGTGGTGGCTTGTATGCTGCTGCGATCCTGGAAGCTATGCCACAGGTATTTCAAAAGCTAGCAGGGTCGCCTGTGGTGAACAGGTTTCTGTGATGCTCACAGACTAGCCATCCACTTCTGAAATAGCAGGTCATTAAAAGCCCTATGAATCGCAGCAGAACATCTGTTGTTCATAGGGTTGTTATGAGTTGTAGTTCACCTGATGTGTAACTTGGCCAGGCCATCATTCTCAGGGGCTGGCAGTCATGCAATCATGCAATATGATAGTTATATAATGATCACTCATGATCTGATGTCAATCAGTTGTAAAAAGATTAAGGGCAGGAAGCATCCCTCTTAATCACGTCACAGTGCTGACTTTATGTAAGAGAAGTCTATAGTACAGGAGATAAACAGGAGAGAGAAGCAGCAGAGAGGGAGAGTCTCAGCACTGCCGGGAGAGCAGAACCGGGAGGAGGCTGAGTTCTTTGGCCCCTGTGCTGAGAAGCTCCTCGACACATAAAGGACCAGACACATGGAGATCTGCAGGGAATACTGGGCTCACAGACTTTCAAAGGAGAAGAAGAGGGGCTCCTTTAGAGCTAACAGAAAGAAAGCCTTCCCCGAATGCCTTCAGCCTTCTATGCTCTTAACTGTGAAAGAATAAATCTCTACTTGTTAAAGTCATTCACTTGTGGTATTTCTGTTACAGCAATGCTAGATGACAAAAGCACCACATATAACGAACAAATCTAGAAGAATCTAGACTCTCCCACTATTGAGTGAAGTCAATCACAAGAGGGCAAATAATGTGTTGGTCTACGATTATTTAAAAAGCTAAAGAAAAATTTTACGTAGAAACAATTATTCTTGGCTGGTTACCAGGGAAAGGGAGGGAAAAGGAGTAAAAATCAGACAATAGACATAGTAAGATGGATGGAGGGAAAGGGAATCTGCAGTAAGTGAACAATCAGCACAATATCACTAAAGAAAGGGAAAGTATGGCAATCCATTCGAAAAGTAAACACACACACCGTCCTGCAGTATCAGCAATAATGAGTCTATAAGTAAATTATTATAGGAAGACATGCTAGACTGCCATAGGCAAGGAGGCAACAAAAAACACCCAATGTTTCATACTGTTTTAAAGAGAAGCATTCTTTTGGTCTAGGGGGACAATTTCGAGGAAAGGCTCCTCATCAAATTAAAATCCGTGGTTGTAGTTGCATCCATCCTGCAATCCACAGCTGTGCGTGGATTAACTCAATAGAGGGAACAGCACCAACCATTCCACAATAATGGACCTTCTGACTTTGTATCAAAAATATTTTCAAGGAAAAAAAAACGTTTTCAAGGGTTGAAAAAGAAAATTTTAACTAATTTAAACTTTGACTAGGTTACTGTGTCACAGCCTTCTTCATTTCCCCATCTCTTGTCCCTCTTTACATGACGTGCTTAGATATTTTCCCTTGAGATGGTTCAGACCAGGAAAGCCAGCATCCGGCTAATGCAAGCCTTATAAGGCCCAAGAACATACCCTACACGAGTAGCCTAGGCATCTCCAGATGTTGTACCTTACCAATCTTTAACTCTATGAAGAGATTTTAGGTGCCCTAAAAGTGATTCCTATCAAAACAACTATGAGATATCATCTCACCAAGCAAAAATAGCAAAGTTCAACAGGGAAGTAAACAATAAATGCTGGCAAGGTTGCAGGGAGGTTAGAACCCTTATTTACTGCTAGTGGGAATGTTAAAACAGTACAAACACTATGGAAGGCAGCGTGTACTTTCTCAAAGAATTGTAACTAGAAATACCATTTGACCCAGCAATTTCACTACTGCAAATATACCCTAAAGAAACCATAGGCATGACTCAAACAGATGTATACACACTCATGTTTATTGCTGCATTATTTATAGTATCAAAGAGATGGAGGCAACCCAAGTGCCCCTCAACAAACAAATATAAAAACTCTGGTACATAAAACAACTATGAGATATCATCTCACCCCAGTCAAAATAGCAAAATTTAACAGAACATCAAGCAACAAATGCTGGTTAGGTTGTGGAGAAACTGGAACCCTGATTCACTGTTGGTGGGAGTGTAAAATGGTGCAACCCCTGTGGAAAGCAGTATGGCGCTTTCTCAAAAAGTTGCAAATAGAGATACCATTTGACCCAGCAATTCCACTACTGGGAATATACCCTGAAGAGACCATAGCTGACATCCAAGCAGATATATGCACACCCGTGTTTATTGCAGCTTTGTTCACAATAGCAAGGATTTGGAAACAACCTAAGCGCCCATCAACAAACGAATGGCTAGAGAAGCTGTGGTATATTCACACAATGGAATACTATGCTGCATTGAAAAACAAGGAACTCATGCAATATTATTCAAAATGGTTGACTCTGGAGAACATTATGCTGAGTGAAATATCCCAGTCACAAAAGGACAAATATTGCATGATGCCACTGTTGTAGAATGGGACTAACCTCGGGGTTGGGGAGAGACTGAGTAAGATGGGTTCAATAATGTATACTGCACTGAAACAGAGGAGGGAGAAAACTGTTTAAAAGAGATATGTGACTAGGTATTTCTGTCATCACAGGAGTCTAGAGCAATGGCTACATGGTGGAGGGGACCTGGGGGAGGGTTTGTAAAACAATGAAAGAATCTTTTCTTTTACTTTTCCATAATTTTTGACTCATGTACTTATAACTTGTTAGTTAAATTTGTGTCTTCTAGGTTGCAACACCCCCATGATACATCTTCAAGGATATGAACATGTACAGCTAAGCACAATTAATAACAGTGCATCTAAATTCCAAAATCAATCTCCATAATAGTCTATGTGTTTCCTGCTGCCAAAGGGGCCCTTTAGAGTAGTGAGAGAAGACACAGCGTCCCTTTTCAGCAGGAAGTAGCTAAGAGAATATGCCATCCCCTTTTCCTTATGAATCAGGGTGAAGTCTCTCTCAGGGAGGAGTGATAGGGAATGGCAAAGGACACACTGACAAAGGAGATTAATCAGAACTGGCTTTGACAAGCACTGTGGCAATTGGACAATTAAAACAGACATTTGGATGGCAGGGGAAGAAGAACAAACTGGGGAGGAGGGTAGAGAGAATGGTGCAGCAATGAAGGAATGAAAACCCCAAATCCCTGTAAATGTTCATTAAAACTAATAAAATGTAATAATAATTTAAAAAAACAAAACTCTGGTACATTCACATAACGGAATATTAGCCAGCATTAAAATTCAATGAACTCATAAAAACATTACACAGCATGAGTGGGCCTGAAAGACATGCTGAGTGAAATATCTCAGTAACAAAAGGACAAATACTGCATAACATCACTGTTACACAATAGGACTGATGAGGGGTGGAGAATAGGAAAAGAGTGAATAGGTAATGAACACTGCATTGGAATATATGAGAGGAAGAACTATGTGAAAATAATATATTATTAGGCATTTAAGGTATGACAACAATGTGGAACATAAGGTCATTGCAAAGTGGACTGGGGGAGGAGCCAGAGAAGGGGAGGGAAGAAAATGTGCAACAATGAATGAATAAATAAAAAAGTGATTCTGTATGACCTGCCAGAAAACAGTCATCTTGAAAGGTTATGTTCCGTGATAACCAAGAACCTCATCTAGAGACGGCCATCTTTAAAGCCACAAACCATGTTTCTGAAATGTTGAGTCATGCACCTAGAGGCCGTCTTCACCAT